ATACCTTGATTGCCGGTTCGATCCCCAGCCCTGGTTTGGGGTGGTGTGGGAGGAAATCACTGTGTCTCTCTCACATTGATGTTTCTCTCTTCCCCCTCCTTCCCACTCTCTGAAAAGCAATGGAAAAAATATACTCGGGTGAGGATTAACAACAAAAAAAGTACAGAGAGTTACTACATACATCATCATCACCCAAAGCCCACAGTTGACATTAGGGTTCCCTCTTGTGTGGTAGTCTGTGGGTTTGACAAATATATAATGATGTGTAGCTACCATTATAGTATCATACATGTATTCATTTTTTAAAATACATTTTATTGATTTTTTACAGAGAGGAAGGGAGAGGGATAGAGAGTTAGAAACATCGATGAGAAACATTGATCAGCTGCCTCCTGCACACCCCCCACCAGGGATGCGCCCGCAACCAAGGTACATGCCCTTGACTGGAATTGAACCTGGGACCCTTCAGTCCACAGGCTGACGCTCTATCCACTGAGCCAAACCGGTTAGGGCCATGTATTCATTTTTAAACCTTTAATTAGGGAAATTTTCAAAAGTCCCCCAAAGTAGATAGAATACTGTAAATAAGCCTCAATATACCCATTGGGGCTACCACAGTGATAAAATGAAAGGGAACCTCACTGAAGGTCTGTACTGCAAGGCTGGGTGGCTGGGAGGCCCCACCATGCCTCTCGAACAACTGCTGTGACTGCCAACCTTCCCCAAACATTCACCAAATGTCTGTGAGATTGAGCCCCAGTGACAGCTCCTAACTTCTCAGGGGCCTGTGCCCCCCCCCCCCCCCGGGTGTCACCAGAGTCACACAGATGGAAGCAGCAGGCCAGCTTTGTCCCCCACTTGGCCTCATGCAGGCTAGAAGCTGATGACAGTGTGGAGTGCAGCTGCCTGCCTTTCCAAAGCGGAGGTCAAACTTTATCCTACAGTCCTCCTCTGCCAGGATGTCCCCCACCCCGCCCAGAGCCCTCCCCTTTAGGCGTTACAACATCCTCAGTTACAAGTACCAGAATCCCAACTCAAACTGGCATAAGCAAAAAATAAGTAATGAGCCTGGCTAGCGTGGCTCAGTGGTTGAGCATCAACCCATGAACCAGAAGGTCACGATTCGATTTCCAGTCAGGGCACATGACTGGGTTGCAGGCTCCATTCCCAGTGGAGCACGTGCAGGAGGCGGCCGATCGATGTTTCTATCTATATCACTCTCCCTTCCTCTCTAAAATCAATAAAAACATATTTTTAAAAATAAGTAAATAGTCCTGGCTGGGTAGCTCAATTGGTTAGAGCATCATCCTGATATACCAACGTTGCAGGTTCGATCCCCAGTCAGGGCACACACGAGAATCAACCAATCCTATATAATAAAAGGCCAATATGTAAATTGACCAAATGGTGGAACGACTGGTCGCTATGACACACACTGACCACCAGGGGGAAGATGGTCAAAGCAGGAGCTGTCCCCTGGTGGTTAGTGTACTCCCACAGGGGGAGCACCGCTCAGCCAGAAGCCCTGAGCCAGGCTCACAGCTGGCAAGCACAGCAGCGTGGTGGGATCCTCTCCCGCCTCTGTGGCAGCACTAAGGATGTCCAACTGCCGGCTTAAGTCCGCTCCCTGTCAGTTGGACATCCCCCAAGGGCTCCTGGACTGCGAGAGGGCACAGGCCAGTCTGAGGGACGCCCCCCTCCACCAGTACACGAATTTCGTGCACTGGGCCTCTAGTAAATACATAAATAAGTGGAACAACAAATATCTCTATCTCTCAATCAATTACAAATTTTTTTAAAGTAATAACAGGAGGAGGACTTATTATTCCTGTAATGGACCCCAAAGCCCACAGGTGATACCAGCTCTAATAAAGTCACCAGGCCCTGGCCAGTTTGGCTCAGTGGATAGAGCATCCACCTGAGGACTGAACGGTCCCGGGTTCGATTCCAGTCAAGGGGACATGCCTGGGTTGCAGGCTGGATCAACCACTAGGGGGCGTGCAGGAGGTGGCTGATCCATGATTCTCATCAATGATGTTTCTATCTCTCTCTCCCTTCCTCTCTGAAGTCAATAAAAATAAAAAATATATATATTTTAAAAGTCATCAGGACATGGGCTCTCTCCATCTCTTGGCTCTGCTTTTCTCTGTATTTTATTCCTTTTCACACATGTGTTTCCCCCAGGTAGGGGGAGGCAACCCCAGCCAAAAAAGAGCTCTCACCTTCCCAATAGTTCCTCTATTTGTCCCTGGAGACTGACTCTCATTGGTCCAGACTGGGGTATGGGCTTACCTTGCATCAGTCTGTGTGGCTCTGTTTGGCTATACCTGGGCATATGCCTACCCCAGAGGTCAATGTTGGGGTCATCCACATGCAAGCCTTGTGTACTGAGAGTAAAGGAGAGATGGTTCCCCCAAAGGAAATCGAGGTACTGTGACCTGATGCTAGGTAGGCACTACACTTCCCTGTAAAGATCAAATACATCCAGCCCAGCCAGTGTGGCTCAGTGGTTGAGCATCGACCTATGAACCAGATCACGTTTCGATTCCCAATCATGGCACATGCTCAGGTTGCGGGCTCAATCCCCAGTATGGGGTGTGCAGGAGGCGGCTGATCAATGATTCTCTCTCATCATTAATGTTTCTATCTCTTCCTCTCTTCTCTCTGAAATCAATATTTTTTTTTAAAGATCAAATACATCCCCTCCTTGTGCTTGTATAGAACATGACTTCCATGCATGCTTATTTATCTCAGAGCAGCAGAAGGTAGGAACTGCTCTCAGGATCACCATTGTGACCCTATTAATAAGGTGGCAGGTCTCCCATCTGAGGTGCATTTGTATTGGTTCAGCTGTTATAATTTGTTCTGTCTGTTCTCAGTCCAGACGACTTGTCTTTTGAAACTAGATTATCTTGACTGA